GTGTCCAGCACTCAAACCACCATGCCATCTGCTGGCCCCTGGCCTATGTATTTTTAAAGAAGATATTTTTACTAAACTACCTTTAAATATGGCTGCTTCACTTCTCCAAAACAGCTTTTGCTTTTCTTCACCTTCTGTAATTTACTATAATCATAAATTATATGTTATTTTTAAGTACTACATTCCCAGCTTGTCCTTCTCATGTCTTCTGCCTGGTTTTTCACCTTTATTTATTCTAATAATAGCTTCATCTCCTACAAGAGATTCATTCAACTCATCAAACAAACATTTATTGGGTAATTACTATACACAAGCTATTTTTCTAGGTGCTAGATATACAGTAATGATCAGACAAAAATCTCTGTCCTCATGGAATTTACTTCTAGCAAACAAGATAAGTAAATAAATAAATTATAGGTTCAAAATTGGTAAGTACAATCAAGAGAAAACAAAATAGGGAAGAATTCATTCAACTCATCAAACAAACATTTATTGGGTAATTACTATACACAAGCTATTTTTCTAGGTGCTAGATATACAGTAATGATCAGACAAAAATCTCTGTCCTCATGGAATTTACTTCTAGCAAACAAGATAAGTAAATAAATAAATTATAGGTTCAAAATTGGTAAGTACAATCAAGAGAAAACAAAATAGGGAAGAGACTATATAATATAATCCGAGATTCTGAAACTTTTTATGAACTTTTTACTGAAAAAGATGTTTTTGAGAAAAGACCTGAAGGAAGTAAGGAGATGAACCATTCATCTGTCTTTGGAAGAACATTCTAGAATAGCCCAGAAACAAGTAAGAAAGTGTGTGGGGGGAGATTGGGTCACAGAGTTACATGGGTGAAGAAATCAGAGGTAACAGGGAACAAGGTCATATAAAAAATATTTGTTTGACTTACATAATTATCTTTTTTTATTCTGTAATTTTCCTGAGAATTATATTTCTGTTTTATCTAGCTCTGTACAAAGTTAATTTTTTTTAAACATTTGTTTGTTGTGATTTTCAAGCCACCAGGTCTGGCCTTATGGGAATCCAGTGCCTTAACCACCATGCACCTCCTGGTCCTGCTCTACACAGAATTACATGCAATTGAAAGATCTCATTTTTACCATCTTTGAATGATGACATACATCAATTAATGAGTCAAAGATTTGTGCTTGTGGGAAAAATATGTGATCTCACTGTTTAATTTTATCTTTTTTTAAAAAACAAATTAATATCATTGCTTCTTAAGCAGCAGGGATTTTGTTTTTGTTTTTGTTTTTGTTTTGCTATAGGGCATGTATGTTTACCAGAGAGAGGGGAAGAGAGAGAGAGACAAAGTGAGAAATCATCACCTAGCCAGCGTGGCCACACTGTAGTCCCTTCTCCTCTATTTGCCTCAGGATTTGGGACATGTACATACACACACCCAGCATGTATTTTTAAGTCACCAGGTCTGGGACTTACACTATGGAATTGGCCGTGTGGAAACCAGCACCTTGACCATCATGCCACCTGCTTGGTCCAGGTAGCAGATATTTACCAATATCCCAATAACATAATTAACAGTTCAGTTGCCCAGTTCTACTTTACATAATATTCTTGTTATTTTCTAGTTTTTCTTGCATAATCCTAAGTTTTCACCATTGAAGCACCCTTAAGAGTTATAACTTTTTAAAGGTTTTCTTCCACATTCTCATTTTCTCTGGTTCTCTGTTCAGCCAAAGTAAAAGTATTTGCTTTCTGTGAAATGACCAGAAATCTAAGCAAGTAAATTAAACCTAATCAGGGGATGTCTAATTGGGGAAGAGATAAAACTTAAATGAACTCTTCTACATTGAAGAGTTAGAGTTCATAGTATGTTCTAATAGACCTTTGAAGTCAAAAAGATTTTGTTACTTACTTTCCTCACTAATTCTGTAGCTTTCTGAACTTCAGTTTCCTTGTTGTAAATGGGAATCAAATTGCCTACTTTAGAGGCTTACCAACACATTGTTTTGAGCATGTAATTGAATAATAGTATGTGAACTTTCAAAAAAACTATTTAGTGTAGTGCCATTGAGGTAAGTAATACTGTTAGTCTACCTGTGGTACTTTCAAAATTTTGTTAAATTTTAATATTTATTGGCTTTTAATGTCTGCATAACTTCCAAAGTTTATGGATTTTATTTTTCTTTGACCAAAGACCCCTTAAACACATGTTTTGTAAAGTTGCTTCTACAGTATAGATGTACAAGTCTTGGCTATCACCCAATAGCACCATGGTGATTTAACTCTCAGTTGTAGTGGCCTCTGGCATGTACCTCAATAAGAATTTAGTTAGCTTCACTTTGAAGACAACTGTTAGCAATTGAGAATAAACTTCTTGGAAATTTTTAGTCTCATTAAAGCCTTTATTAATGAGCACCCAGAAATAGCTGTGCACTGCTGTGCCCCAGCATTCTTTGGCGCCCCTAGGAAGTAAAAATTTGAATTAGTCCAAAGTTTATGAAGCTCTAGGTTAAGGGGAAGTCATTATACCAGCAAACTGGCTCACCAGTGCAGGGCAGCATGAAGCTGTGAGGAGAGGCCCTCCAGAAGTGTTTATTGCTGCTGGGTACAGAGCATCTAGGGCACCTATAACCACTTTTGTTGTAAGTTTTCAAAATTTGAGGGAAAAAAAAAAGCCATAGAACATTGGTTCCCAAACTGCATGAATCACCTAGGAGTTTTTAGAAGTCTTGATGCCCAAGTCACACCTTGTAGTAATTATAAATCAAAATGTCTAGGAGTGAGAGCCAGGCAGCAGTAGTTTCGAAAGATGCCCAGATGCATCTAAGGTGTAGCAGAGTTAGGGAAGCACCGACATATGTGATTCTAGCCTCAATTCTTGTATTCCCTGTTACTCTTTCTTAGCCTTTAGCACCAGTAGTGAGAGTCTGATAACCCTATTCCTAAAGGCATGTGAAAATACAATGTCCTTCAAGCAGGTTTGTGGTCCACATTTTTAAAAGAGTATATACTGTTTAACATAGTCTTACGTTGTTTTGAACTTTTAAGTTTCACTGCTGTTTCATTCTATATATATATTCGTGTTATCTTTTCCCATTTGTTACAGATATTTCATTGACAGCTTTCAGTAAATGCCTGATTTAAGACACAGAATAAAATCATGTCTATAGATAGTAATTAGTTTTCTTTCTTTGTTGAAAGTCCAGTAGCCTTTTCAGAAGAAAAGACCGGCCACCAATTTGTTTCCCCAAGTCTATTTTTATTTTTTGCCAGTGTAGCAATGAGCTGTTACAAACTGGCTTAAATCGATAGAATTATGAGGCTGAAGGAAATGTCTGCTTAATTATCCCTCAGCCACATTAATATTTACTAATATATAAAATAGATTTGTATGAGACGAAAGCTATACCTGTGACATCACTGACCATATTTTAAGTGAATAAGCATTTTACCAAATAGCATGGTTTACTAAGTTAGTCTCAATGTAATCTTATAAGATGTAGAATGTATATGCACAAAGGGGAATTCTGGTCACTCCGTTCCTCATGTTGACAAGAGCTAGAGTTTTGTCTTCACATCCTTAAACATTTGTTTAAGGCTTGACAGAAGTTCGGGAGGTCACAATATTATTCTAAAAACAACAGCAATTCTATTTTGGTTTTAAAAAAATTCTATTTCCTATTCCATGTGAAATATATGTGTGAAAAAGTACAGAACATTAATTGGTGCTCTGTGAATTTTTTCTTTGTCATTGATAATTAAAGGATATGTCTCCAGTGCTGTCAGAGTATTGTAAATTATGGAAGTTTTTACATTGCAAGTATTTGGCTTAATTCATTACATTTCAGTCGTCTAATTTTTGTTTTAGGTCTTTCGTTTTTCTTGTTTTGCATTTTTATTTTGTTTTGTTTTCAGCCATCATTTTGTCTTATCATCTTCAATTCTAGAGCAACCCGACAACAATAATGATACTACCGAATTGGGCATCCTTGTCATTCCTGAGATTAGTGTCACAAGTGTGGCCGGAGAGAGAACCGGGAATGGGGAAAAAGGCAGAACACTAGGAGAGATTGATGCTCAGCATATACAGGGTGTGCAGGAAACAGCCACAGACCCTAGAACTGAGAGCAAAGGCTTGCCAGAGATCAGGAGGCAAAAATCTGTAAGAAAAATGATGGAGGATGGAATAAGCTCACCTGGCAGAGTGCAGTTTTAGCAGAGCACTTTCTAGCTGCACTCCAAGGTATCTCAAGGCAAAGGGCCACTGATGCATGTTGAGCAACAGTTGCACAGTCACAAAAATTTTGCATGTCATCTATTAATCAAAATGCATGAATTAGACACCACAATTTCTCAATGACTCTTCACATCCTTTGAAATGGTCATAGCTATGTTGTCTCTGAGTGAATTGTTATGAAATCTGAGGCAGAAAATTGCTTCCAAAAGAGTTCTCTGCTCGTTTTGAAATTCTAAATTATTTTTTATCTTTGTAATTTGGCTGTCTTTGATATGAAGATAATGTATCTAGAATTTTAACACATTCGAATCAATAATATTGATGGTCTAGAATGTAGAATGCAGCCTTCTAAAATGACTCTTTAAAATAGTCTAATAGCATTTTTTTTAAAAAGGCGCCTTGGTAAGAGCTTTGATTTTTATACTACTATGCTACTGGGGGCGAGTTTACCCTAATTTACTATGTGGTAACTTTTCTAATTGTTTCTGATCTTTTGCATGAATAAATAATAGGAGAATTCTTTCTAAAAACACAGTGGGGTGTGGTTTATGGCATGCTTTTGTTTAATACGCTCTAAATTGCTGTCATTTAATTACAGTGAATTATTTTAGATGTTTATAGAGTAAATGTTTTAATTGGTCCTTTGATTTTATTCTATAATCTGTTGCTTTATGAAATTATGCTACAGTTTAAAGTCTAATTGATTTGATTTTAATCATTTTAAAAGAGTTGCTTAAAATACTTAATGATAATACATCTTTGTCATTTTTTTGTTTAGGAGATACTGAATTAACAGGTCAAGAAGAACTGATGGAGATATCTGAAGTTGACGAGGGATTTTATTCCAGGGCTGCGTCTAGTACCAGCCAGTCGGGTTTATCAAACAGTAGTCACAATTGTAGTAACAAGACAAGTGTAGGAAAGAACCAGAGACGGTCAGGAGGAAGCAAAACTGGAGGAAAAGAAAAAGAAACTACAGGGGAATTTTGCAAAGATCACTTTGCTCGAAAACAAACCCAGAGAGCCCAAAGTGAGAATCTTGAGCTTCTCTCTTTGAAGAGACTTACTTTAACAACCAGCCAATCTCTGCCGAAGCCTAGTAGCCATGGTTTGGCCAAGACTGCGGCAACGGTATTTAGTAAATCCTTCGAACAAGTCAGTGGCGTCACAGTCCCACATCATACACCCTCTGCTGGTGGTTGTGGGACTGGGACAGATGCCAATAGGTTTTCTGCTTGTAGTCTCCAAGAAGAAAAGCTTATTTATGTGTCAGAAAGAACTGAACTTGCCATGAAGCATCCATCTGGTCAGCAGAGACCTCCTAGTATTAGCATTACTCTGTCCACAGATTAATCTATAACATACTTTTCTCACAGTGACTCTGGAAATACAACTTTGCTTCTTTATGAATGTGCCCTAGGTCTTTCATCTCTGTTCCTGACAGGAGTCCTGCTATCTGATTCTGAAGCCTCCCTTGACTTTATGAAAGGAATAATGTCTAGGTTGCAGCAAGTTGAAATATGGTTTCATTATTTGCAAGTTGTATTTCTTCCCCTTGATTGTGTTTTTCTCCCCCTTAGTTTGAGTTTTTTTTTTTCTTTGTAACTATCTTATTTGCTATTGTTGCCCTAAGATTGTCAGTGTGATAATAAATTTTAGCAGGTTGTTTTACTGACTTGGTTACATTTCATATGAGGTTGTGAGGTTATGAGGTTTTTTGTTTTTGTTTTAAGTAAGTTCTAGTTTGGTAGCTACCTGTCTAGCTTTCAGAGTCAAAGGGAATTTGTATTCATAGGATCTGTTTTGTAAAGAAGGGGACAGAGGTGCAACTCTAGGAGTTCTATAGCTGGCCACTCAGCAAGCCAGTGTGAAAAACAAGCATGTTAAAAAAAAAGAAAACAACAACAAAAAAAAAACACAAAAAACTGAAAATGATGTATACGAAAATTGTCCAATGAAGAAGTTTGTGACTGGATTGTCTTTAAGATTAGAAGAGTTTGTTCAAAGTACTGCAAAAGGTCTGGTAACTCAGTACCCAGAATATTAAATTCCAAGGGAGGGTTAGTGGGATTTCTGGTGTTATAGTATTATCACTGAACATTTTTATATTGAAAATAAGATTGGTGGTAGATGTGTTGTTTTGAAATGTTTGATCTGGATTTACAAGGTGAAAAATCCATTTTAATCTCTAAGGTGTAATAGGCCATAAAGCTGATTGACCCTGCTGCTCAACTTTGGAAGTTCTAGTTAGTTTGGATTCCTATCATTTAGAACACACATCATGGAAGACTTCCTGGAAATCGTTGTAAATCTTGCAATGCAGCTCTCACGATACTAGTATCAGCCACATAACATTGAGTTGTTTGTTTGAAAATGAAGGAACCTAAATAAGTGTTTGAGCTATAAAATGTCATTAAAGAAAATATAGTGAAATATGGACAAAAGACACTTTTGTATTAACTAATTCAGGGTTCTTTATGTCTGTGTTCTTAAATTTAAGGTATTAAAAAAAATGAAATGTTTTTCTTCTTTGTGAACAGACCTGTTTTAAATGTTCTAATATTATTCCCAACCAAAAGATAAAAATAAACTGGCAACATGGCAGAGGCTGAACAAACTTGTATGTAGCTGTAGGGGCCTGTGTGACCTCTAGAGAGGCATAAAGGCTTGATGTTTGCTAATAGTGGTCATTTCAGCTATGAGTGAGGTTCTCTCTAAAGCAAATATACTTAAGTAATAATTCAGAATGAGAGAGAAAGTAGAGCTGAGATTGAGAATAAATTGGCCGGGGAAGGCCTAGGAAGCTATCCACTTCCTGGGCTCTTTCTCTTTTAGTACACAGTTGTTTCTTTATTCTTTGTTCTTGGCTGTGTTCACAAAAAGAGTATACTAATGCTTTCATCTTGTTTCTGTTTACATAGAGGTCAAATATATTAAAAATGTGTATGTTTTGAAGAGTGCCAAAGCATTTACACTCTGAATAGAGTTTTGACCATAAATATTTTGCCTACAAGTTTAAACCTAATTCTTTGAAAAGTACAAAGTAATTTTTATCTCTTAGCCCTGAATACAATATGGTTTATAATAAAAGTGAATTTGATTTTCTTTTTAGTTCCAGTAGTAGAATGAAATAAGATCTATTGGCGTAAAGTGTAGTCAAAAGCTTTAAGGCAACCAATGAGGGATGATAGTGTATTAATTCAATAGGAATCCCATGTACTATTTCAAGTATTTGTAAAATGCACTGTGAACTTTCTGTTGTCTTTCTATGATCCCTTAACAAAGAATTTTCCCTATTCATAGTTATAGTGTTGATATTATTAAGAATTTAAAAGATTGGCATTTTAAGCAAGTTGAGGTGCTTAGGAAATGTAAAATAAATTTGTTGAAAAAGCTGGCACAGATAGAACTGATTTTAATATTCTGCCACTCTAATGGAACTTCATTTTGGTATCATTCTAGACCTTTGCTACTCCTATGGTTCAAGGACCAGGAAGTAGAATCGAAATCACCTGCCATTTTGGTAAAAATGCAGAATTTCAGGGCCACTCCAGATTTACTGAATCAGAATCTGTATTTTAACAAGATTTCTAAGTGATTTTTATACACATTACAGTTTTAGGAATAAGTATCAAAGTGCAAACAAATTACTTGTCCAATACGTAGGATTTTCAATGACTTCACACTCTCCTAGATCAAATATGTTAGACATTTGATTATTATAACTTCATTGCCTTTGACACTAGTTAATTTTTAATAATGTTGACAAATGACTTCTTAAGTCTTCTAATCACCTAAATATCTAACGATCCTCATTTATTTTTGCAATAAAAATGTAACATTCAAAGCTGATGATGCCTGTAATTTTAAATATGAAAGAGGTACCACCCTTTTATACAAGGCACAACAGATTTTTATGTGTATATTCTTTTTAAAAACCTCTGAAAACTGACTTAGTGGGGTGGTTCTGAACTTTTGCTACAAATAATTTACCCCCAGTTGATCCTCTGGAATGTGGAGTTATGATGACAATAAAATTCTTTTATAGTACCTTTGATACTATTTCAAATAAGGGTTATTATACATTGAAAGTTTTTATAGCAATTATGAAAATTGGAAAATGATAACCGTGGCGACAATTGTTACTATCTTTAGTACTGTCTTGCCACCCATCTTTGCAGTATTAAAGTTGGGGTGGTTTTTGTAGGTCACTTTCCAATAAAAATACGAATGGGCACAGACCTCCTCTCGGATTGTACCTTTTTTTCCATGAGAAAGACTTCATACAATATTTGGGTCTTGTACCTTGTAGCTCAGAAGATCTGATCAGAAATTGCTGCTCCATTCCACATTTAAAACCACCAGGGATCCTTGAAATCACTCAACCCTTCACTCTTGAAACCAACTGCCTGGGGTGTTCTAGTGAAGCAACACCTAATATTGGCCTTTTGGAAGCCACGAAACAAAATGGACTTTTCAAAGGAGTGTCCCAGAGTACCCAGGGCAAATGCCATAAGAAAGCACCCTGGAGTCCTTGTACATCACCATGGAACTTGTTAAGGCAAGCACTGTAGGCATGAAAGTAGAAAGTCTCAGTCCTTAAATGATGACTGAATTTAGTTTTGAAAAATCAGTATTTCATTGCCCTTCTTAATTGTGAAGCGGCTGCACAGCCAACATTTCTCATTTTTTAAAAAAGCTGAATTAAGGGAAATGTAGTGTATAAAACACATAGAAAAAATAATCTCCATTTTAAGGGAATTTTTTTTCTATTTGAAAAATAAAACTAATGTTAAAACTTAAATTAGAGAGAAAAATGTACTTCAGGACATAATTTTAAACAAATATTTAAACTAAGACATTTTAACATTTGAGACTATAGACACAATAAAATTATATCAAAGAGAAGCACATCGAGAAAATATACTCATTAAATAATGTAACTAAAATATTTTTCTAAAACCACCTAAAAAAAAAAAAACTTGATCGCAATTAAACATTGTAGATAGGAAGTAATGTATAATAGTGTCTTCCCAATCTTTGGGTGAAAAAAATAACTCTGGTCCTTTAATTAACACGTACTTTTAAATATGTTGCTTTGTAAAATTATACTTAATACTTTGAGTTATTCAAATTTGTGTTTAATATTGTTAAATATTCTTTATCAGAGAGCATAAATATGTGGTCTTCTGTACTTAGTACTAGTGCATATGTAAAGAGACTAGCAGTGAACATTTTTGGAAGATGTTTGTGTGTTTTGTTACAGTAGAGTTCAAGAGTACCTGTGTCTTATATGAAGTTTTTCATAGTAAATTCAAGGTCCTATTTCACATATTGTTGCTTTCTCTTCTGTGGAGCTTATTATGTACCTCTTTTCTTTACTTCTAATCATGTAATGATACTAATCTTTTCATAGTAAATATATTTGTTTCTCATTATATTACTAGAGTTTACATTCCTAAAGAATAAACTATGACTTTGTATATTTTTATCTATTTCCTACCTTTTTAAGGCTATGGAAATAAACTGGATTTAGTTTTTTTAAGTTTTGTATATTTGCGTCAATGTTCTCCGTATGCAGTACTTTATACAGCAAGTGTTGCCTGTTGTTTTATTGAAATAAAAACTGAATAAAAATTCTTCCAGATTATTTTACTCATTAAAAATTGTTATCAATGTTGCAAAAATCATGATAATGAGGAAGACTTAGATGAGCTGAGCCACTGAAAACTCTTTGAGATAATCCATAAAACAGTGCTATCTCATTCCTGGCTTTGTGCTTTACCTGGCCTAGAGATGAGCAGTGTGACAGGTCCGTTGGTGTCCATCTAAAGATGAGCTCCATGACCCATGCACCAGTAGTTGATTATTTGATAATCCCAGAAGCACAGGCAAACTTCTATAACATTGTTTTGATCTTTTAACTTTAATATTAATATTTATTGTTCAAGGACAATTATTATATGCTCCTAGTACCTAGCATAGGGTTTGTGCATGGTGAATATTTAGACATTCAATGAATGAATGAATGTATGAAGTTGACGTTAGCTTTGGGAAAGAATCCAGGATAAGGTCTTCAAAATATTTTATAATAAAATTTTAGAATTCTATTGGCTCTAGGAAGTCTTTTTTTTTTTTAAGAATTATTTTTTATTTAACTTTATTTTAATTTGATGAGAGAGACAGGGCAAGAGAGAGAGGGAATGTGAGGAAACGAGGCACCAGGTCCAGCACTCGAACTTCAGTTGGCCATGTGGGAGTCCAGTACCCTCAACCGCCACGCCACCTACTGATCCTGGCTCTAGGAAATCTTAATGCCATTAAAATGAATTGCATTATTGTGCATACTTATAAATAAGACTCTGAAAAAATTTCCAATGTGTTGTTGATTTTATGTTTGGATAATCCCATTTCATCTAAGGAACTAAGTAATTTAGAGAATATTTTCTGAACTACAGTTAGAGTACTTGTAGAGAACCAGAGCAGTGATTTTGTAAACAATGTGTTAGTCCTCTGAAACAGGTATTCCTCTTATGACTTTGGTAGTCCCAATAAATAGTTGACTCACCTAATAGGATCTGACTTCATTAATAGCAACATGATTATTTTATAAATATATATTATAGAAAGACCTTTATAAGAAATTCTAGTAATTTGTTAATTTCCCTTGTATTTATTGTGGTGGTAGTAATAATTAATTTTTGTAACAAAAATGATCTCATTTAATCCTCAAAACAATCCTATAAAATAAATAAAATCCCCATTTTACAAAAGAGGAAACTGAAGCTCGTGGGTAAAGGTAACTTGCCTAAGGCCATCTGGCAAAGTTGGGTCTTGAACCATGGATCTTCTGGTTCTCACTTTTCTTTTATATCACTTACTAAAAAAAGATCTTACAAAATGGACATATATTTGAAACTCACTTTGCCTATCTATCTTCTGGGTAACAGGGTTAAGTTTTAGGGGACTGCTGGTTATTCTGATCGTTAAAGCATGCTAAAATACCATTAAAATAAGCAGCGTTTTGTTTTTAACCTGACAAGTGGATAAAAATAAAAAGGTTGAAACTAGTATGGGCATAAGTGTGGAGAAAATCATTAGTCTCTGAGACGATTGGCAGGGCTGTAAATTGATTGCTACAAATGAATTAGTGGACAAATTAGCAGGACCTATTAACTTTTAAAATGTACCACATGCCCTCTGATCTGACAATCCTACTCTTCTGTGTTTACGCCATTGTCTCTATTCTACAGAAAATTTAGCACAAATGTGTAAACATAAGCATTGCCAGGGTATTCATTGCAGCCTTTCATAATAGTGAAATGAACAAATAAGCGAAAAAAAAAAAAGAAGAAAACTAGCAATACGAGTGTCTGTTAATAGAGTAATGTATAAATTTTGGTACATATATATAGTGGAATATGACGTAGCCATTAAAAAAGTATTCAGATCGTAACCAGCAGATGGTGTAATGCCTGTGTCACTGGACTCCCTTATAGTTGATCACAGTTTAAGTCCTAGACTCAGTGGCTTAAAATTCACACCTGGCATGTGTGCATGCATACCCAAAATCCCGAGAGAAGAAGGGATTGTGATGCAGCCATCCACCCTGGGAGGTGATTTCTCGCTTTCTGTCTCTTTCTCTCTTGTCTCCCCGGTGAGCACACATGCCCTATAGCAAAAACCTCTCTCTAAAAAAAAGGATACAGATTATATGTGAGACTGTATGATATAAATTAAATGAATAGGTACATTTCTGCTGGTAGGAATATATAATGTGGTCATATATATGTATGTGTCTATGGAGAGGGGAAGAAATTATTCCACTCTCATAACTGGGCATTATACATGTACAGCATGCACATATTTGCTAGTGTGGAGGGAAGAAAACATTTCTCTAAGTGTGATTTAAAGACCACCTGCATTAGAAAAAAATGGTGCTTTTTACAATGAAAGTTTTGGGGCCAGCAGGTGGTGTGGTGGTTAAGGAGCTGGACTTCGACATGGCCAATTGAATCCTAGGGAACTTGAAACTCAGGCCAGGAGTGCATGTGTACAGGCTGAAAGTCCAAGGAGGAGAATGGAGGAAAAAGGATTGAGGCATGGCCACCCCTCACCCTGGGTGGTGATTTCTCACTTTCTCTCTCACTGCATATGTCTCTCTCTCCTTGGTAAGTGCACACACTCTAAGGCAGCAACCTTCCAAAAAAGAAAAAAATATCTTCACAAAGTATCATCAGGTGACCTGTTAATAAAGCAAAACTAAATAATAGTACTTATTGCAATAAATGAGAGCCTGGACCGATCCTGTCTCTATGCAGAAGAAGCCATATCTCACATGGCTGACCAAGGTTTGAGTCTCAGCCCTGTGGCTTGAGAAGGAACTTGGCAAGAGTGTATATGCCCAGGATCCTGACAAGGTGGACAATTGGAGGAAAAAGTGTAATGTGGCCTTGGTGGAAGGGGGTGGCTTCTCCCTCTCCCCACCTCTCTCTTCCTCATGTGTGAGTGCACTTAGCTGTCTCTTAGATCCAGAAAGTAGGACATCTGTAGGGCTTTGGGATCTGGGTTTAAATGTTCAAGGCCTGGAACTGATCAGGATTGGCAAAGGTAGTAGCTTAGGGTGGATGAATGAAGCAAGCAATTGTCTTGAGGCTTTGTAAGCTGGCTGTTAGAGAAGCATGCTGTTGGCCCAGATAAGCCCGTTATTCTCTCCAACCTGTAGGAATACCCTTAAGCAAACAACAAATTAGAGATTATTTTTGTTTTGTTTACCTTTTCTGGGCAAAGATGTTCTAAAATAGACAACTATATCATATTGACATAGGTGGGCTACAGTTTTATCTAAGCCGTCGTGACACTGATGTATTCAGTTCACTGTACCTTTCTTTATTCAAAGTTGTTTCTGGCCCCCCTCCCCCATAGGGTGCATATGCTCACTGGAGAGAAACAGAGACAGAGGGAAAATGAGAAATCACCCCTCAGGGTGGACAGCCACAGTGCAGTCCCTTCTCTGCCATTCTCTCGGAATTTTGAGCACACACACGCTCGCGCCCTATGTGATTTTCAAATCAGAAGGTCCAAAACTCAGACTGCAGTTGGCTATGTGAGAGTTCAACACCGTAACCACTACACCACTTGCTGTCCCCTCTAGTCAAAGATCTCAAATCAGCATATATAGCATATGATAATGTCTTTAGTGAATTCTTAGGGTTCTACTCAAGATCTCAAAGGTTTCTTCTAAAGCTTGTTAACCCTTACAACACTTGGTTCACAATTTTTTACATGCTATAATATAATCCTCATCACATGATATGGTGATTATCTTTGTTCATGAGCTAACTGAATAAGGATAAAGACATTTACTGACTTCCTTATCTTTTCACATGTCCATCTCTCACTAAACCACAGCCCTGTGGCAGTCTAATATAATATTTATTGCATGAAAGTGAATAAAGATTTATTTTACTAGATAAAATGTGAATCTAATCCAGGAAATTGATGGCAGAATAGGAAAGACTTGTTTCTCTTACATTCCAGAGAAGTCTATGAAACTCCTATATTTTGCTAATGTACATCTGCAGAGTGATGAAAGTGAAAGTTGTAAAACTTTACTTTGAATCTTTTAAGTACCTGCATAAAAGTTCTTTGAAAAGTAAATTAGGGTACATCATGTTTCTTTTTTGCTTAGAGTAATGTATGGCATAACTATGTTTCTGGGTTAGTACTTGACATTTATTTTTTCTTGTTCTCTACCATATTACTCCCATGTGTCTGTGGTCCATTTGAGTGACATCTACATTCACCAGAAAAGAAAGTAGGAAAGACCTAAATTAAACACTATGAATTCTCGCTTCTTTCCTCCCTTGCATCCTTTTGTAGACACAAGTATATGTAACTTTTGTATCTTAGATCCACTGTAACCTAATGAAGGCCTGTAGTGCATTTAGCTTAGAACTTCAACTCTTCTTGTTTATCCAGCATGTTTCTACTTGTCTTGCCCATTGTCCTATATGGTTTTGCACTTTTTCTTCTCTGAATCTCTTGAAATAAAACCCTTTGGAGCACCACTTCCTATTCTTCTAATTCTACTCTAGTTTAGAATCCTGTTTTAATATTTACTCTTTTCCTTAAGTCTTTTAACTCATTTACATCTCCCAGGTTGAATATGATGAGGCAGCATATGTTTGAAAGAAGAAAACAAATAGGCAACCAAGCAACCCCACGAATTATAACCTGCAATAGGAAATAGCATATTTTCCAGTTCACTAAAGAGGAAAATGCAAGCCTTGTTATATAAGTAGTACTATACTGTATGCTGCTACTAGCTAGATATAGACTGTGGTAGTATAACTTCACTCAAAGATGGTTCTGGAGACCAGTAGGGAAAACAATTCTCTCCAGTGGGAACAAATCTGGGCAGCATTTCTTGTGTGCTTTGCACAGAAGGTGAGATATCCTAAGGTATAGATTGATATGATTTAAACCTAGCCATGTGATTGGGGAAATAGAATTAAGACAGGAAGATGAGTGTTAAAATTTGGGGGCTAAATGTGTCATTGGACTTTTTAAAATGGGCTTAGATTGTAAGATTATTTTGTCTCCACATAAATGCTAAATGAAGGTCCCATTGTGAAGGA